AATCCTAAACGTCACCTATGCCTCTTCTGCCCAGCTATTGCCTGTCAGCATCTTTATTTACCAATCAGAAATAATTTGGGGGCAAGGTCACATAGTGCCACTTGGGTCTCTCCTCTCTGGGGCAACCAGGTCTTGAGGAACCAGAATTAGCATTAGAATACAAGCAGCATCAAGCCTACCCACTACAGGAAGCTGTGGTGTGTCACAGTGTGTCACACAGTGTACCTTTTTGTCCACACGTCTTTACTTGCAAATGTTCATTGCAATGAGTCATTGGTCTGGTAGAGGCCTCTGGCTTCTGCTACACCACCATCAATACTGGATGCTCACCAAGACTCCTCTCGGATAGCCTGTTGCTGCCCTGTGCCATGGAGATCCTGCAGCTTTGGATCTGCAGGATCAGCCCCTTCATGTGCTCCAGCAGGTCATAAATGTTATAGACGTTGGGATGGGCCAACTCAAAGCCCTGGATCTGGGCCTGGGTGGTTATTTCTTTATTCTAATATTTTATTGCATTTTACCTATTTATTTTGTGTTTGAAAGAGACAGGGAAAGTGTGCACACCCCAACTTGCTAGTGGAGTTCAGTGGACAACCTGGAGGTGTCAGGTCTCTGCTTCCATCATGTGGGTTCCAGGAACTGAACTCAGGTCTTCAGGCTTGGCAGCAAGTGCCTTTAACCACTGAGCAATTTCATGGGCCCAATTTATTTGTGGGCTTTGGGGAGAGGAGGAGGTTCTGAGTCAGGGTTTCTTTGTGTAGCCTTGGCTACACAAATGTGCCGGGCGGTGGTGTCGCACACCTTTAATCCCAGCACTTGGGAGGCAGAAGCAAGCAGATTTCTGTGATAGCCTGGTCTACACAGTGAGACTCTTGTTTCTACACACACACACACACACAGACACACACACACACACACACACACACCTCCCATCCAAGAAAAGAGCTTCTGCCTTAGAGCAGGTAAAATGGCTCAGCAGGTTACAGGTGCTTGCCTCGAAAGCTAGGCAACCTGCTTTAGATCCCTGGAACCCATGTAAAGGAGGAAAGACAGAACAGTCCCACAAAGCTGTCCCCAGACCACCAGAGTGCATAGGCATGTGTGCCCTCACACGCCAGTCACAGGGGCACTCACAATAAGACTTTTTAAAAACCTCTGCCTCTGCCAAGGGGGTGGGAGGGAAGAAAAAGTCCTCACTTTCCAGATACGTTTTGAATAAACTGGCATCAACCAGGTCTGATGGTATAAGCCTATAATTCCATCTCCTTGGAAGATTGAAGCAGGAAGGCCACAAGTTCAGAGCCAGCCAAAGCTATACTGAGCACACTGAAAACTAGCTTGAAATTAAAACTTAAAAAGAGGGCTAGTTATGTAGCTAAGTGGTAGAGCCCCTGCCTAGAATCCCCCAGTGAGGGGCTGGGGGCGTGGCTCAGTGGTAGAGCCCCTGCCTAGAATCCTCCAGTGAGGGGCTGGGGGCGTGGCTCAGCGGTAGAGCCCTGCCTAGAATCCCCCAGTGAGGGGCTGGGGGCATGGCTCAGCAGTGGGGTGATTATCTAGTTCTGTCCCTCGTACCAAAACATAAGTTAACAACAACAAACCTAGTACCTTCATATCATTCAACATCATTTATTACCCACTGTAGAAACTGTAAGGTCATTGGGGGCAGGGATACAGGCCACAGCCAAGAGCAAATGGCTTCTCTGCTGGGAAATTCACAACAGTCATGCCTCTTTTTTTTGTTTGTTTGTTTGTTTTTTGTTTTTTCGAGACAAGGTTTCTCTGCTGTCCTGGAACTCACTCTGTAGACCAGGCTGGCCTTGAACTCAGAATTCCGCCTGCCTCTGCCTCCCAAGTGCTGGGATGAAAGACGTGCGCCACCACTGCCCGGCCAGTCACAACTCATATGACGCAGCAGGGAAATCTTCCTCTGTCCTGCGTTCTCCACACACCCTCCACAAATAAGACAGAGCACACGGACTCCCCTTACACAGGTTTATTTTACACTCACACGCGTACACTCAGTGATCATTGTATCCATGTGCAACTTCAACAAAGACGTAATTGAGTCTGAAGGATTACCACAAGAAACAAATCTGCTGGTTGACTCACTGACAGTTTTTGGATCAAGAAAACTAAAGGGGGAAGGGGTTTGGTTATGAAATCTTGTGAGAGCTGGAAATCTTAGGCCAGAAATCCCGTGGTATACCAAGCTAGCCCAGATTAGCAAGTGACCCTGATGTCAGTCACAGCTGAACAGGAGATCGAGACACACAGACGCACGCTCACTTAGGTTCTGTTACAGGACATGCAGGGGATCAAATCCCTTCCACCTCCTTCTGACCTTTCTGCTCAAAGTTCACATTTACAAGAAACTTAATTAGGGGGTGGCAGAGACAGCCCAGTTAGGAAAGCACGTTGCAAGAATGGGGATTTGAGTTCGATCCCCAGAACCTGGGTGAAAAGAACACGGTAGCTCAGGCTTGTAGCTGCAGTGTTGGGGAGGCAGACAGGAGAGCCCTGCAGCTCCCGGCCCAGCCTAGCCTACTAGCCAGTTTCAAGCCAGTGAGAAAGAAACCTGTCTTATAAAAAGGTGGATGGTGGCCAAGGAGTGACACTCAAGGTAATCAATCCTCTGCTTCCACATACACACACATGAACATATGCACAGATGAACACACACATACACACACATGCACATATGCATAGATGAACATACACATAAACACACATGCATGTATGCACAGATGAACACACACACACAGAAAAACACAATTGCACACAAAGCACAGTGCGATGACTAGTTACAGTTATCCTATACACACAAGGGAATACAGCAGTATTTTGGATTACAACACAGTTGAGTTCTTGTTTTTCTACACTTTAAAATTTTTTTCTAATTTACTTCTTTATTTTGAGACAGGATCTTACTCTGTAGTGCAAGCTGGCCTTGAGTTCAGAGCAATTCTCCTGCCTCAGGCTCCCATTGCAGGGATTACAGCCACACACCAACACCCTTGTTTCTTTACATAATTTTTAATTATATTTATGGGGGGTATGTTTGTCCCATGGAATAAATGTGGGAGTCAGAGCGAAACTTTCATGAGTTACCTCTTTCTTTCCATGACGTGGGTGCTGGGGATCGAACCCAGGGACTCAGGCTTGGTGGCAAACCCCCTTTCCCACTCAGCCATCGCTGAAGCCTCTCTTTCGTGCTTTTAAACATGAAAAAAGAGTACTCAGAATGTATCTTAGAAACCACAGATGGGGGAGACACCACCCTCTCTCTTTCACAGGCACATAGAATGAGAGGTGGCAGCAGGGACAGATTTAATGGCACTAAATTCAGAGGGCAGAAATCAGCTCATTTAAAAGAAACTTTTTAAAAGAGTCAGATTTTTCTTTTTCTGGCTACAATGTGAGCAGCTGATTTAAGCCTCAAAGACAGAGGGTCTTGTGGAGGTCAACGGAATTAGAGCTAAAAACTGAATTCTCTCTGCCAACCTCTTCTTTCCCCCACAGGCTTCTAGAGAGGGCATCGCCTCATTTGGGAACTAAAGTGCCATTTTTATTCCATTGTTTTTTATTGGTTCTGAAGATGGAACCCAAGGCCTTGCATATGCTAGGCAGAGGCTCTACCACTGAGCCACGCCCCCAGCCCCTCACTGGGGGATTCTAGGCAGGGGCTCTACCACTGAGCCACGCCCCCAGCCCCTCACTGGGGGATTCTAGGCAGGGGCTCTACCACTGAGACATACATGCAGCCCCTTATTGGGGAGTTCAGGACAGGGACTCTACCACTGAGCCATGCTCCCTGCCCTCACTAGGGGATTCCCCAGCCCAGAAGCTCACTATTTCAGATAGGCTGGTTGGCCAGCAAGCTCTTGGGGGTCTACTTGTCTGTACCACACTGATGTTGGTGTTACAGGCACAGTCAGACTTTTACATGAGTCCTGGGGATTAGAACTCAGGTCCTTATGCTTGCACTGCAAGCCCTATTATGCACTGAACCATCTTCCCTGCCCCTAGTTTTCTTTAAAGACAATGAAAACTGAAAGATTCGAGGGCATGCAGATGTTTGTTTTTTTCCAGAACTAACTCTTGGGGCCTCAATTTCCATTTAGGCTCCTGGAGGGTGAATGCTGAAGAACGCGTACAACAAGCTTCAGAGAGCAAAGTCCGACTTACCAAATGCGCACAGTGCAAGGGACAAAATGTCTATGTGCCCTTTTGGACCACAAGCCAAGAAGGCAGGCTGTGCCTCCAGAAGGAAAAGCAGGGGGTAGAGAAGAACAAAGGCTGAATGTGGGTGCGCAATACCATGAGCCCCCTTGTGGGTAAAAGGAAAGAACGTTCTAGGATTTTCCAAAGCTACTTACTACCTTGTCTACCTTGTCAATACACCAGGCCCCCAATAGTCCACAGTCAGGTTCCATTGAACCACAAAGAAAAAGTTCACTTCCAACTTGATCCTTCTTCCTTGACATTCTTCCACCTCCTTGGGTACAAATCATAGCTTCCTGGAATCTACGGATAGATAGATCAGAACACACCAAGGGAAACAGGGAAAACCATAATTAGATATTTACCGCCTGGGAATCTCCTGAGTCCAGGACAGTGGCCAACCACACCCCTGCCCAGACAGGCCCCAGAAATATTAGTCTTAGGGCTCTACACCCTAACAGACTACAGAATTTCAACTCGTAAATTTTTATGTAGCCCAGCTGACCTCAAACTCTTATCCCTCTGCTTCGCCTCCCAAGTGCTGGGATTACAATGTCCTAAGCCAAAACCGTTACATTGTTATGGAGGGTGTTGACCCCAATGTTGCCTAGCAAGGGCTCTAGAAGGGAGGCCCAGGCTCTACTCGCTAATCCTCTCACCTAAGATTTTTTTTTACCTCCCCCAATACCGAGGTCCTCCTGGTTACCCCATTGATCTACCATACTTGTGGACCCCACTGTACCCCCACTGAACCCCCATCTTAACTAACCAAGTCATCTCTATATGCATTCACCTTTGGAGACACAAGGGAAGCCTCCCAGCTTGGTCTCCTGAACCCTGGATGTTGAAGCAGATGCATCATCAGGTTGGGTCCCCTGAGGAACCGGCATGGCTCTTCTAGAACCAAGCCCTTTCTTCAGAATTGCTGTTTTGTTCTTGGTGGCTTCAGAGTCAACCAGGACATATGAGAGAGCCCCCAAGCTCATCTTCTTCTTCTTCCTGGTGAGGGCAGGGATCTTGTTAGAGGCCCAGGTCATGGCTTTCTTCTTTGGGGGGTTCTCAGGTCCACCATCTTGATCTGAATCCTCTAGATTCCGGGGGCTGACAGCTGTGGGCAGCGCACTCCGAGGAAGATCATTTGGATCCCTCCAGACTCTCCTCTTCTTCCAAACTGTCTCCTCCTGCTTCACAAAGGGTTTTTTGTTGCTCTTGACAGACTCTGGGATGTCTGAGCTTTGGGCAGCCATAGCTTCACCAGCTTCCAAATTACCCTTATTGTAATTGCTGTTGTAATTGCTGCCTTGGGGTTTTCTCCAGCATATTGGTTCTTGCTTAGGATTTTTTTTCTGCTTCCTTCTCCTAGAGCGAATCTTACCTCCAGCCCTGCGAACTAGAGGTTTTGGAGGGTCACCATGGTCCTCTGTGTTCTTCCAATAGTTTCGGTCCTCCATCTTGAAAGCTGAGCCCACTTCTAAGCCCAGCCCGGGTTCCTTCTTTACTCTCCTCGCCGTGGAAGCCCAAGCCGCCATCAACTCAGCCTCAGCAGCCTCTTCAGTCCTCGCTTCTTCCTCCCGATGACGGATCGCAGCATCCATGTAGAAGATGACCTGTACTATCGTGCCCAGGAGCAACCCTAACGCTTCAGCCCAGTTCAGTGGAGGCTGATTTGAATTCGGGAGTGGTGGGTTGGGGTTAAGCCGCAAGAGGCGCACCACGTCCTCCCAAGAGCGTCCTTCGGCATCCAGAAATTCGTTCAGATTTTTTAAAAATTCGTCGTCCTGGGTGGGGTCCCTGCAGACCACTCTCCAGACACCGCCCCTCCCTGGGAACTCCCGGGGTATAGAGCTCAGATTCACACCCTCGCTAACCTCAACTAGAGCAGCCTTCACGTTCTCTTGCCTCAAAAAAATTTTGTTGAGCACACGGTATGCGCCCAGTGGCAAGAGGACCCCATTCAAGGTCTCCTCAATTTCTGCGTGGCTACAGTGCTCGGGGATACCAGTGACCAACAGGGACCTGTGGATGTCCAGTCCCATGCCCCTGCACCAATCCTCCAGCAGGTTCATGGCCACGGGCTCCGACATCTTCCTGCTCTATATCTATGCGTGGAACAGAGAGTCTATGAGGGAGGGGGTGGAGGTAACGTGGTCCCCAAATATGAATCCTGCAAGGTGACAAGACAGTGAGGTCAGATTCCCTGGAAGATGGACCGGCACACAGGTCTACCCTGACACCTCCACTGCCTTGGCCTTACAAAACGCTACACCTGCACCCCCATCACCCCAGAATCCTCCTTCTCAGCCTGGGCCCCTGGTGCTCACGTGTCCTGAATACGGTGCAATCAGCCCTCGCCGGTTCCTGGAGCCTGGTACTCCACAGGTTCACAGGGATGTTCTGGCCCTGCCCACTTCTGACAGTTTACCCAGGCCAAAGACAGGAGCCTGGAGCGCATCTGCTTTTCCAAGCGCAGGCTCTGACCCCAAAGAGGTCAAGACTCCGTGCCTAAGCCCAGCCGTGCAGCTGCCGTCAGCACAGGTCACACAGCCTTGATCCCCCGAGCTACATCGAGCTAGCTAGCTGGTGTTGAAGATCGCTCATGCGCACTTGCTTCCTGCACAAGGTCCTCAGATCCGCATCCCCTGCAGTCTCCATGGCAACAATCCACTGGTTGCTAAGCATCATCCTGGCCTGCTGTGTGTTGTGCAATCAGACTTAATATGGAAGACAGACAAAAGATGTGACTGCCGTGATTGCTCAGGTGTCCATTGGGCAAAAAGTCCACATTCTGCATCCCTCCAGAGCCATTTCTCCACCACAGACTACTTTTTTCTCTTTAAATTAATATACACGTGCATATATATATCCCATCCTCACCCCCAAGGCAGAAAGGGTCCTACTGTGCAGCCCTGGCTGGCCTGGAACTTTCTGTGTAGACTAGGTTGCCCTGGAACTCACAGAAACCAACCTGCCTCTACTTCCTGCATGCTGAAATTAAAGGCTTGTGCCACCATGCCTGGCAACTTTTATAATTTGTTGTTGTTGTTGTGATGACGATGACGACGACAATGATAGAATACAAAGTAATCGGGGCTGGAAAGATAGCTCAGTGGTTAGCACTGAAGACTTCCAGAGTACCTGGGTTTGCTTCCCAACGCCCACATGGCAGTTCACAACTATAATTACAGCTGTGGGAATCCAATGTCCTCTTCTGGCTTCTGCAGGCACTATATATGTGTGGTGCACAGACATACATGTAGACAAAATACACACACATGTAAAATAAATAAATAAGGACATTTAAACCTCTGGGCACTTCAGTGGCAAAATACTTTTGAGCTCCTGGAGTCAATCCTAGGACAGCTGAAGAAAAAAGAAGCTAACAAAGAAGAAAGAAAGAAAGAAAATGATTTACCTTACAACAGTCACTAAAGTTGAAGTGGCTTAGATAAAACTTCCTGTCACTAGGGTTGTGTCTGAATTTAACCAACCATATAACAAATAACTAAAAATAAAAAATAAAAAATAAAAATAAAAAAAAAAGGACTTCTATAGCCCAGAAACTGAGATTTCTCCAGCAGACTAAGAATGTTTGGAAGACTGTCATGAAAAAGGAAACTGGAGGGCTGGAAAGATGGCTCGGTGGATAAAGTATTTGCTGTGCAAGCATGATTTCATTACTTCAAATCCCCAGCACCCATGAAAGAAGTGAAGTGTGGCATCATGGGCCTTTAATCCCAGTGCTGGAGGCAGAGCCAGGAACAACAGCAGATGCCCCCTGATCAGTCAATCTGCCAGAAACAGCAAGATCCAGACCAGTGAGAGACCCTGCCACAAAAATTCATGGTGAGCTGGGCAGTGGTGGCACATATCTTTCATCCCAGCACTTGGGAGGCAGAGACAGGAGGATCTCTGAGTTTGGGGCCAGTGTGGTCTACATATCAAGTTCTAGGCTTGCCTTGGCTACACAGTGAAACCCAATCTCTAAATAAATAAAGTGGAGAGCAATTGGAGAAGACAATCATATTGACCCCTGGCCACCACAAGCACACAAGGCAAACAAACCCCACTCCCAAACACACAAAACTGAAAAATGATATATTTGAATTATGCTATTTCAATGAAATGTGGAATTAAAGAAAGTCACATTTCTAAACCTCTGTATCTCAAAGTGTTCTCACTTATTAGTATGTGTGCATGCCGTGTGTGTAAGAGTGTGTGTGTACATGTGCCAAGGCACACATGTCGATGACAGCTTGCTGGAATCTGTTGGATTGCACTCAGCTTACAGGCTCGTGCCGCGAACACTTTCCCCAGTGAGCCATCTCACCAGCCCAAAATCTTGGCTTCACTTGTTTTTCTATGTGGTTGCAGTATGTAAGAGAAAGACATTTGCCAGGCAGTGGTGGCATAAGCCTTTCATCCCAGTACTCCAGAGGCAGAGGAAGGTGGATCTCTGTGGGTTTGGGGCCTGCCTGGTCTACAGAGTGAGTTCCAGGATAGCCAGGACTACACAAAAAAACCCTCTCAAAAAAATCAAAATAAATAATTTTTAAAATGAGATCTACAAATATTTTAAATAAGTGAAAACGGACCAGTATTACACATACACAGACAGAGAGACTTATGATAAAATCCAGAATACTTAACTTGTAACTACATTTAAGAGAAAAAAAAATTAAACCGTGTTTACGGCCAGATCTGATGGCTCACACCTTTAATCCCAGCACTTAGGAAGCCGAGCAAGTGGATCTCTGAGTTCCAGGCCAGCCAGTGCTGTATAGTGAGACTTTTTCTCATGAAAAAAAAAAAAGTGTTTATCAGACTAGAGTTATAGTTCAATGGTTATAGCTCAATGGCTGCTCTGAAGTAGGACCCAGGGTCCATCTCTGACTCATTCTTCCGGTCACTTTGGTTACCAGGCATACACAGGGTACATATATATACATGGAGGTAAAAAAATTATGCACATTAAATAAAGATGATAATTGTAATGTAAATAAGTTTAGATGTGTTTATAAAGCCAGGAATAGTAGTGCTCACCTGTTTTCTCAGCATGAGGGTCCCAGAAAGTTCAAGGCTTGCCAGGGCTGCAGATCAAGTACCAGGCCAATCATAGTTCCGTAACGAGACTGTCTCAAGTAGATTAATTAGTTAAAAGTCAGTGTGGTGGTGCACACCTGTAACCCCTTGGCAGGTGGGTTAAGAGTTCAAGGTTGTCCTTGGATGCCCATCAAATTTGAGGCCACCCTATGCTTTGAGAAACTATCTCAATAAACATGAATAAATATTTTTCATATAGAAAAAGAATATATAAATATATAGAGAAACTTTATATGTGTGTTTATATACTATACACGGTGCTTAGCGGAGTCATTTGCCTGCCCGATCTCACATTAAGGAGCTACACTGATTGCCAGAGGATTTAAAAATAGTTCTAAAGCATCCCTAATAGGAGTGGTTTCCATGACGACACATGGTCCTGTGGTTTCTATAACACTGCAGAGCGGTTTCCAAGACAACACATCTCTGCAGCTCCAACGTTTCCATCATCCTCTGCTTTGTGTTTTCGGGTTCTTTTTCCATATTCTTCCTCTCTGTTTAGTGTTTGGGTTTGAGTTCATTTGGTTTTAGTTTTTGCTTGGAGAGGAGCTGTCCTCTTGCCCAAGCTGGCCTCGTATTCAATACTTAGCCAAAGATAGCCTTGAGCTCCTGATTCTCCTGACTCGGCCTCCCCAGTGCTGTGGTAGGTGTGAGTCAGCACACCCAGCTCCATTTCTCTGAGACAAGCTCCAACTGTGTGGAACTGGCTGGCTTGGAATTCAAGGTCCTCCTGCATCAGCACTTTGAAAGCTGGGATGACCAGCGTGTGCCGCCATATCTGCTAGGCTTAAGGTTTCTCTTTTACTCTACTGTGTTTTTGTTGTTGTTGAGAACTCATCAAATTTCCAGAAACATCACCTCCAGAGAAGGCTTAGCAGTGCCTTAGTTTGCTTCCTATGACTGTGATAAACACCATGACCAAAAAGCAACTTGAGGAGAAAGGGGTTTATTTTAGCTTGCAACTATAATCCCTTCACTGAAAAAGTCAGGCCTGGAACCTAGAGCAAGCACTCAAGCAGAGGCCATGGGGGAACACTGCTTACTAGCTTGCTCAGCTTGTTTTCTTATACACCCCACAGCTGTCCGTCCAGCAGTGGCACCGCCCACAGTAGACTGAGCCCTCCCACATCAATCATCAATCAAGAAAATGTCCCACGGGCTTGCCTACAGGCCAATCTGATAAGGGCATTTTCTCAATGAAGGTTTAAACTTCTCAGAAGATACCAGCTTGTTTCAAGTCAACAACAACAACAAATATTAATCATAATTATAAGAACACTAACCAAAATAGGAGTGTGTGGGTTCCTCTTAGACTCCCTTTCCCAGATTGTGCTAACCAACCCACCTCGGGGGCTGAGGTGGTTAACGGTCCTTGTCCTCCGTTCTATCAGGGTTCCTCTTGCGCTTAAATCTCTTCCATTCAACTTGATTCCTCCCAAACCTAAGTGTCCTCAGCTGCTTCCTGCAGCTGCAATAAAAAAAACTCTGACCGAGAGCAACTTGGGGAGGAAAGGGTTTATTTCATCTTACACCTCCAGGTCACAGTCCACTATGGGGGTCAGCACAGGAACAAGCAAGAAACCAGAAGCAAGAACCGTAGAAGAAAACTGTTTTCTGGCTTGCTCTCTGGAACTATGCTGTCCTGTGTAGACCAGGCTGGCCTTGAACTCAACAGAAGTCCGCCTACCTCAGCCTTTGGCTGGACATGCATGCCACCACACCTATCAGCGAATGGCGCTGCCCACAATGGGCTAGGCCCTCCCACAACGCCCCTACAGACACTCCCACAGGCCAATCTGATCTAGGCAACTCCTCAACTGAGATTCTCTTTTCCCAAGTGACTCTAGTTTGTGTCTAATTAAAAATGGAGATTAACGCTGGGCAGTGGTAGCGCACGCCTTTAATCCCAGCACTTGGGAGGCAGAGGCAGGCGGATTTCTGAGTTCGAGGGCAGCCTGGTCTACCGAGTGAGTTCCAGGATAGC